ACATTTTCTTGGTCCCTTCTTGTGATTTTCTCACTCACATAATTATAAATAAGCTGGACATGGTAGTTCATATCTGTAATCCTAGCTAAGGGGATGCTTAAATGAGAGGATCATAGTCCAAGATCATCTAGACAAAAACAGGATACTACCTGAAATAGCTAAAGCAAAAAGGTTTGGAGAGGGGGCACATGGTTTGAGCAGTAGAAAGCCTACCTAGCTCTGACTTCAAACTCTAATACCATATTAAATAAATAAGTAAATGCAAACATAAATAAATAAAAGAATTTAAAAATAAGAACAGTGTTACAAATAAGACTCATGCTTCAGGAATATTTAGCCATAATTTTACTTTTGTGTTACAAAAAAGACTAAAGCTTGGGCTGGGAAGGTGGCTCAGTAGTAGAGCGCTTGCCTTGCATGCCTGAGGCTCTGGGTTTGATTCTTCAGCACCACATAAGCAAAAAGAAAAAAGCCGGAAGTGGCGCTGTGGCTCAAGTTGTAGAGCGCTAGCCTTGAGCTGAAGAGCTGAGGGACAGCGCCCAGGCCCAGAGTTCAGGCCCCACGACTGGACCCAAAAAAAAGACTAAAGCTTTAGGAATATTTAGCCATAATTTTACTTTTGGAAGTAACCTACATTCTTTAACATAATGCCTTCCCTATTTGAAATACCTAGGAATCTTACTTTGCTGTCTAATTTGTTTTTTATACAATTTTATCTAAAATCCCGTAGAAATAAACAAGAAAAAAAAAAACAGAGAGAATTTCAGCTTAACAAGAAGGTCCTTTGCCAGTTTCAAAAATGTTCATGAGTATCACCTAAATAAGACTCCTCTAGGATGGTCTCTTTCATCCAAAAGAACCTGTAAGGGATTCCTAATTCATTCCAGTTTTGATAACCAAATACTAAAATTTTCTAAACCTACATCCTGAATTTTGAAAATTCTAGTTCCTTCCTATCATTTTTGTTACTCTGAAAGTATTTCAAAAAAAAAACATTGTTAACACAAAATAAATGGGCCCCAATGTCTCTTGACTATTTCTACAGCTTGGCTATGGTGAATAGTGCAACAATGAACACAGGTGTGCAAGAGTCTTTACTGAATCTTGACATGTAACTATTTGAATAAATATCCACAAACTATACTGCTGGATCACAGGGTAGTTCTATGTTAAGATTTTTTTAAGACTTTCCAATCTGACTTTGATAGTAGTTGTACTAATTTACATTCCTACCAACAGTGTACAGAGTTCCCTTATTTCCCCACATTCCCATTATCATTTGTTATTGTTCATAATTTTGGTGGTGGTCATTCTTACTGGGGTGAAATGGAATCTCAGTGTTGTCTGATTTGTATTAAATCATCTGTGAGGAAGAATATTATTATGTCATTTTCAGGGAAATGGATAGACCTTGAAAAAATTATGCCAAGTAAAGTAAATCCAGCTCAGAAAGACAAAAGACACATGATTTCTTTCTTATGTGGAAGTTAGATCTCAATTATAAGCATACACAAAAATATGTACAAGGTCATATGCAAATATACACAAACAACTCCATTAAAGTGTGGTATACACTGAGAAGATGTTTAAAGGTGTAACTACTATGAACAACTAGCTTACAACCTAACAAAATGACTCTCAGGAAGCTAAAACATGTTGTCAGCTGGGAAGGAGAAGATAGAGGGTTAGAGATGCAGATGAATGGGGGGCAGGGCAAATATAGTCATGACATTCCATGTACTCAAAGGAAAATAGAATCAGCCAACTTGAATGGATAGGTGGGACTCAACAAGATGAAGGGGAAGAGGGGGATGAAAGAAGTTGACACTGATCAACAAGACACATTGCACTCCAACTGATATGTTAAGTTGAAACCTCTTTGTACACCCACTTAAAGATAATAATATGAAATAACTACTTAAAAATAAAACAAAATAGAAAGGGTAAGAAAGGAACTTAAAATAAGGAATCCTGATCCCAAGGGGGTTTGGTGGGTTTGTTTTTTTAGTATTTAAATATGTCTTCGTGAAGTGCAAATTTCTCCATAAAGTGCTGCAGTATCTAAAAATATTATTTTGCTACAAACATATGGCTAACTTATCTCAGAATTTAGAGCTCAGTGCTTAAAGAAGAAATACTTCTCAATAAAGAGTTTTTCCTGAGCTCAGCCAGATCTATGAACAAAGGAAACTTGGACCTTCATCAGTTTTATGGCATTACCAACACATGGCTTAACAATTAACGTAAGGATTAACAATTAACAATTAAGCTGTTAAGATTATGCTTTCCAAGACAAAGTCAAATTCAAGTATCATGTTTATTTTTTCCACAAATTATTTCTCTTTAGAAGTATAAAGGGCTACTATACTTATCACATAAAAAAATTATATGCTTTAGAGTCAGATAGAATAGAATGTTCTTCTGAATTTACCATAAATTCTTCCTGTGAACTTGGAAGTGATCTACCATCTCTGAGTATCTGTCTCTATCTTTATCAAAAGTATAGTCATAATAATTACTGTGTTCTACTTAAACTCTACAAACTATATTACATACAAGTCATGATAAAAAGCCCACAATGTGGAGTATTTACAAAGAATTTTATTTTTTCTCTCTGGATTTTTTTCTTGAAGCATACATATTTCAAGATCTCTGTGATTAGTCATTCTTCCTCATCTAGTTTCCTACATTCAAGCCATTTCCCTGCCTTTAGCACATCATGTAGAGACTAAAACTGCAGAAACTGTGGGTGCCTCAAATCACAGCTCCTTACAAAATACATTTCCTTCGTGACTCAGAGGTTTCTCTACACATAATTTTAGAGAAGTCACATCCCATTTTCAGACTCCCCTTTTCCTTCTCTTTCCTATTCTTCCTAGGTTTGATTAAATGGTAGCTGATATCTAGTTCTGTGTCTAAGATTTGTAGTCTCTTATAACCAATAAAGTCCTTAAGCTGAAATGAATGCCTAAAATGAGAACATGAGATCTTTAAACTACCTTCATAATCTAATAATTCTAATCTAATATTATAGTATTTTTGAGTATTGCAACAAGTAATCTCTCTCATTTTTAATAACCAAGCCTCACTACATTTCATATAAGATAAAATTTGTGACAAACAATGCCTAAAAATATTCAGCTATCATTTCATTAATAAGCTTGATTGCAGCTGTGGGCTTTTTGGGAATGATTAAATATTACAAATGTAAACCACATGGATGAATGCATGAAACAATTGAGTAGAAAAGTTTTGTAGGGAAGAGATTTTATAGTTCAAGAGAATTGTCCAATGTGGGTTGGGGGAAGGATGGAAGCATATAGAATAATTGAGATTTGGAGGGACAGGAGGGAGACTGAGACCAGGCTCTCTAACCAATGGAGAAAGATTTTTTTTTCCAAAAACTTTTAGATTCCACTTCTTTTCTTTTCTCTTGATCTCTTTAAAGCCAAGAAGTTTTCTAAATTCCTTCCAACTGAGTTGCAACAGACATTTTGTAAGAGGCTTTTTTTTTCTCAGAAAAAAAAATCAGTAGAAATAGTCCTTGGTGAAAGGGAGTTCCAGATGCAGGATTACATAGATCTGTGAGCCAACAAATACAAAAGGAGTTAAAGCAACAGAGACAGGGCGGCATAGAGCTCTGTAGTGAAGGTGGAGATGCTCTGTGTTTTTATTCCTGAGATCAGAACCCCTGTGATGAAGGGAAAGCAAACAGGGCCCAGAGGACTTTTTTTTTTTTTTTTTGCCAGTACTGGGGCTTGAACTCCGGGCCTGGGCACTGTCCCTTTGGCTTTTTGCTCAAGTAAGTGAGCTACTACTCATTTCCAGCTCTTTAGTGGCTAATTGGAGATAGGAGTTTGAGGGACTCTTCTGTTCAGGCTGATCCTCAAATCTCAGTCTCTTGAGTAAATAGGATTACAGGCATGAGCCAAAAACAGTAGACTTTTTTGGGGGGCGGGGGGAGGAGAAGCAAGGGCATCTATAAAAGGAGAAGGTTGCTGAAGAGATGGTCCTTCTATTTCTTCTAGTCACTCTCAAAACCCAGTGTATTCCTCCCTCTAACAATGCTAGCCCTCTCACATCCTGGTTCTGTGGGTGTGGTAAGCGGGCCTCCAACCTCCTCCTTATCAAATCACTCCAGTTTCTTTGAAGCTAGTTATTAAATCACCTCTTAGGACTTAGGTATCCTTTGAGGAAAAAATAGCAAGAATTTTCACAAAATGTGTGCAGCCCTTATTAGTCCTCCTCCCCTCCTTCAAAGATTCAATTAACAAGAGGGAAAAGGTGATGTGTCTTTAACAAGTTCTTCACGCTGAATTGCTTAGAGATGTACATTAGGCCTTCTTTTAGTAATAGGAAAAAATTATCTCGTCATGACTGGGCTCTCTTTCCCACCTCCAACAGAGGATTGCAATCAATCAGCGGGACAGCAAGATTGATTTTCTAATTAAGCCAGCATTTGTATAGGCGAGGGAGCCACAGAAGGCTTCCCTACTGTATCTTCCCAACACATTCTTATTTGTATTCATTTACCCTAGTTCTTAAAGTCCTTCCCAAGTTGGGGGAGGGGAAAGGGTTTAGTTACTCTCTCCATGGAAATATCCTGTAGTCTCTCTAGCTGCTTCAGGAAAGAATTACACCAAGTTACTAGGGAAAAGAGAGAAAATAGTGACAAGAATCCATTTGGTCTCAATTTGGCTCCCACATTGGATAAAATTTTTCACCAGGCCCTGCTGCCTTGCACCCTCCCACCCACCTCCAAGGCCTCCCGTGGTCACAGCTGGACCAGCTAACACAGATGGCTGGAGCAGGCAGGCTTTTAGCATTTCTAAAAGCTCCATTTCAGGTCTTGCTTGCCAAAAAGGTATAGCAGGCTTTTGTGCTGGTCTCTGTGATGAGATGTGTTCCTGATTTAATTTACTTAGAGAAAGAAAATGAAACCCTGAACAGCTCAGCCGGATTCTGAGTCCTTTGGGACCCCACCGGAGGAGAAAACTTACTTTACCAATTCTGAATCCAATGCGCTTGTGCCTTGTTCCTCCTGACCTTCCTTCAGTGAACAGCACTGGGGAATAAAACTGAAATCAGTGAGAAAAGCTTGCATCTTTTTTAGTTCATTCCTGGTACATCCATTACCTAATATTTTATTTAAAAGCTCAGTCTTTCACTAATTCAAAATGCTAAGCTCCATTTAAAGATCATTCTCTCTTGAACCGAGGTTAAGTCTACTTATTGTTCGATGTTTAAAAAAATAGAATTGAAGAAAGAAAGAAAACAAGGAAAGAGAGAGAAAGGGTGTGAGATGGGTTATTGAGGCAAATAAATTGACTAAGGGGTTGGATACTTGTGATTGCAGCAGAGACAACAGGGAAGAACCTTGAACTAAATTATAAATATGCATGTAAACACAGAGAGGGTCATATGCAAACACACCTAACACTGACCTAAAGAAGGTTCCAGCCAAAAGAAGTATGAGGCCCTTGAGCCCTCTTGCTGAGACCTGCTTGCAGGTCTACTTTCACTTCAATAAGTTCCTCATCTGAGCTTCTACTCCTTCCTGTCTAGCTCAGTTTGTATCAGGACAGGAACCAATCAGGACACACCTCCTTGGGGGGGCGGGGGGCAGGAAGCAAAGAGACAAAGGCCATGCCCAGAGACTCCTGCCTGGTGGAGTTATTGAAGAACAACTAAATTCTGCATGTATAAAAACCCTAAGAAAGGGCCTTTCAGGTGGCATCACTCACATTCACTAAGTAGCCCCTGGTCAGGTGGTACAACACTGCTCCTGCCTGCTGTCCACAACCCTCTCTGGAATCTGTGTCTCTCCTCCCATCTGCCCTCCCCAAGCCCACAAACACAGCATACTCCAAACCGAACTCACATTCTCCTCTGAAACTTGATCCTCATTCTTATTCCCCTCTTAGACTGCATAGGGTTCCCCCATGCTTCTCGTCATCAGCTTCAAAACCTGAGTATTGCTGTGGGTTCAGCTCTTCCCAAAGCCCCACTTGGGTCAGAGTTTTGTTTGTGTGCCGCCATATGTAAAGACAACACCACCAGTTGTTTGGCTGGACATTCAGCATCCCAGGAGAAGCCAAGCTTTGCACATAGCACCCTCAAACATTACCTCAGTTTGAGCAAAATGTAACACCTTCAGTATATGTTTATTATTCTGTCCACACATACCATCTCTTCCTAGGACATGGTCCTGATTGCCACTACCCTGCACCCAACACACACACACACACTACACATAACACAATATACACACAGCGCACATATGCATATACACATATACATGACATACACAATAACACAGGTACACACGTGTGTTTCTGTGTGCATCCATACATATGCACATCTGCACATCTATATATATGCACATGCATGCCATGCCTACACAAACACATATGTGCATGCACTTCCACACACATGCACACAGGACAGGCATACACACACAAAAAGGACTTTTCTTTTCTGGATCAGGTAAGGACTATAATACATTAAGACTTTCACAAGTAAATTGGCCTTACAATCTTTTCATTAAATTATAAGCTGTTTGAGAGAAAGTTCTTAAAAAGTTTATTTTACTACAATTGAGACAAGTGATACAAAGTTTTATGTACACTAAATACTCAATATGCAGTCATGAAACCGATCTAGATAAGACTGCTAGCAATGGAAGACAAAAGAATTCCAAAAAGCCAATCAGGGTATGGTGGGCTAAGTGGGTAGGTAGGTAGGGCACACACACCTTCATAAAGGGGCAGAGAGTCTGGGTAGAAAGCATCTATGGCTCAGACAAGCAGTCTGAGGATAAGAGCACAACATTCCGGATAAGAAGTCAGGCAGCAAGAGCTCAGACACTCAGTGGCCAGGCAAAAACAGGACAGATCAGACATCAATAAGAAGCTCAAAGAAGCATGACAAATGAAAGGATGTTTTAGAACCACACACACAAAAAAATCCCACCAATTTCATCAAGTAGTTGAGAAAGAGGGTGTTGGGTGGTCGTGACAGGTTGCATGGGAGAGTCAAAGCAATTGAAGGGGAGCAGCTGGCTGGCAAAGGATCTAGGACACAGCTGAACTCGCATTTTGCCCCAGGCTCTGAGCTCTTATGTGGTTCCTCTGAGGGTGAGCATCAATCCTGGCTCCATTAGCATGAGCTGTGCAGGAGGGGACAGACCATGGGGAGCATTTGGCCTGTGCATTCATAAGAGACAATGGTAGCTTTTAGAAGGCAAAGCTGGGGTAGAGCCATTAATTGTCCAGCTGTTTGTGGGGAATGGTTACAGATGGAGATGGGGAGAGGCAACTTTTTCAAAACATGCTCAACCAAAGTAAGTCAGAGCCATGTTTGACTACTGGGAAAGAAAGTGACTTGGGAAGAAAAATAACCTCTGCATGTGATTTTTGCAGAAGGAATGAGAAATGAAAAGAAAACTACATGGGAACACAACAACAAAACCTTGTGCTATGTGCTAGAACTGAAACTATGGAAGCAGAGAATAAGAGGAAATTATAGAATGCACTAGAGAATTTCAATGGGAAAGGCACTGCAATCTCAAAATATGAAGTCTCAGTGGAGTAGAGAAAAGAGAACTAGCCAGGCACTGGTGGCTCACGCCTAATCTTAGCTACTCAGGAGGCTGAGATCTGAGGATCATGGTTCAAAGCCAACCCAGACAGAAAAGTCTGTGAGACTCTTATCTCCAATAAACCACTAGAAAAATGGAAGCAGTACTGTAGCTCAAGTGGTAGAGAGTTTGCCTTGAGTTAAAGAGCTCAGGGACAGTACCCAGGCCCAGAGTTCGAGCACCATGAGAAACAAAAAAGAAAGAAAGAAAGAAAGAAAGAAAGAAAGAAAGAAAGAAAGAAAGAAAGAAAGAAAGAAAGAAAGAAAGGAAGGAAGGAAGGAAAGAAAGAAGAAAGGAAGAAAGAAAGGAAAGAAATGAAACTAAACAAACTTGGAGAAAAACTAGGGAGAATAAAGTGATCCTGTGACTGCCCACATGCTCATGACTGCATACACTGTCAACTCCTCATGAGAACAAACTGACCTACTTCAAGGAAAAAGAAAAGTAAAGCCGGGCATTGGTGGCTCATGTCTGTAATCCTACTCAGGAGGCTGAGATCTGAGGATCACTGTTCAAAGCCAGCCGGGGCAGAAAAGTTCGTGAGACTCTTATCTCCAATAAACCACTAGAAAACCCGAAGTGGTGCTGTGGCTCAAGTGGTAGAGCACTCACCTTGAGCTGAAGAGTTCAGGCACAGCACCCAGGCCCAGACTTCAAGCCCCATGACTGACAAAAACAAAACAAAACAAAAATCCCAGAAAATGGGAAGAGACCCTGAACAGAAAGGAAAAGTCACACTCAAGTGGTGTACCTGCTAAACTCATAGGAAAGATTGAAATAACACTTAAACTAAGGTTAAATCAAAGCTCTGTTTTGGAAAACCAATCATCAGTGATAGCAAGAATAGCCAAGAAAACTCATCTATGACCGCTTATTACTTAGAGGACTGTTTTTAAGTACTTATTAGAAGAAGTGCTAGTTGCAATATGTTTCAAGGGACTGGGAGAGATTTCATAAGTGAAGAACTGAGCATTCCTGGAAAATACAAGCATCATGAACAAGTCAACCAGTAAAGCATTCCCTAGGGATGTGGAAATATATCTCAATGGATGGAAGAGAGAAGGAAGTAGGGAGAGGTGTTTTCAGCACTAGGAAGTCTTACCACCTCTGACTATGAGCTACAGACCACCAAAAAATTGAAGAGACAAACATTGCAGAGATGGTGAGAAAATTATGCCCGTGTGTCTATTAGTACATTTTGTTGATGCAGAGAGTGGTAATGCCCAATTTAATATACACAATCATATTTTCCCTCTCATGCTACCCATATTCCTTGCTTTAAAATCTGAAGAATGAGGTTCTGTAAGCTTCCTGCATCTGGCCTGCTGCCATCCTCGGCATAACCGTTTTATCTTTGGGAGTCTCAGCTGTATTCACAAAGGATGGTGGCAGAGTTAATTAGAAGAAAAGTTAATTAGAATCTAGATCTTCTAAAATTTCTCCCCCCTTCAGCAATTCCTCAAGTTCCTAAAATTGCTGCGTAGAAGAAAAGATTTGCACTGAGCCAAAACTTTGTGACTGTGAAATCATTCTAATATGATGGAGAATGAGTGTGATTTCATATATGTAGGAACATCAGTTATTTTCATTTTTCATAGTAACTGGATATTTGGTACAGAAGATAGAAATAATCATTTTCACTGAAGAGAAGAAGTCAGACCAAGTGGATAACAGTGCAAGGCACTTGGACATTCCTGCCACTTACAAGAGCACAGAAGATTTATTCCCAAGAGCTCTATACCCTGGAGCAAAAATCCATATCAAAGATAGTAGGAATAAGTAGAGGGAGAAAGAATTGCTCTGTCATGAACACATAATTGGAGGCAAGGGGGGAACTATGGTTAATGAAATATAAAATAAAAAAGCACTTCTGGAAGCTTACTTTATTCTTACAGCTGTAGTTCAAATGGTAATTTCCTTCTCTCTAAAATAGAAGTAATAATACTTATGGTTGTTGTGAAGAAAGAAGAGACTATACAACAAAAGCTTGACCCAGTCCTAAAGCCTCACGGATTCCATAAAAGAACTTAGAAGGTCAAAGGAATGTTCTTCACTACACATCGTTTACCTTCATCAGCCAATGGAGGTAATAGTGATGGCCACCAAAATCAGCTGCCATACAGCCTGGCTTTTATGCTTGCCTCTCCCTGAAGTGAAGATTTTTGGTCTGTCATCACCCAAAAACGAATTTCTGGGTATGAAGAGGAGTGCAAATCCAGTATTTATTATTGCTGTGATTCTTAATATCTTGGACACCATTGAAAAAGTAAACAGCTAGCCAACTGGAGTCCATTCAAGACTAAATAAACATTTGGAGTAGGGCCATGCCTTTTGCAAAATTACAACCTACTTAAAATAGATGGCCTTGGAGGTCAGTTTGAAATATGCTCAGTTGGATGTGCATGTTTGTTTACTTCTATCCAAAGGCAATTTGGGGGCAAATAGCTCGGACAGCTGCTTGGGGCCGCCAGCACTCAGTAGACACTGCTGTTCCTTGGACAAGATGTGCTGTGCAACTGTGGCTATAAAAGGGCCTCCCCATCTGTGATGGGAAAAGCCAAGAGCCAAGGGGCCATGGAAAGAGTGTGCAGACCTAACAGAGGACCTTGAGAAAGGGAAGACAGAAGTAAGGGTAGGGTGAGGGCTCTTCTCCCATTTCTAATCGGGAGGACTATTTGGTCAATAACTGCTCCTACCTCAAGCAAAGTTATTATTAATAATAATATTTTTTGTTTTCAAATAACAAAAAATTGTTAAATTAAAAATCAGTCCTAAACTAGGCACTGGTAGCTCATACCTGTAATCCTATCTATTCAGGAGACTGAGATCTGAGGTTCATGATTCAAAGCCAACCTGGGCAGGAAAGTCCATGAGACTCTTTTT